AAGTTCGCACATGACCTTTACGGGAACTTGTCTTCGCGTCCGGGACCAGGTGAGCGGCTGTTTGTGGGCTTGCAGCTGTTCGTTCATCCTTGAAAGCCTTGTTTTTCTCCCTCTCCCTCTTTTCTCTTGTGCACACAAGGTGTTCGTCGAATTGCTTGTAAAGCTTCCCTTTTCGCGAGACTTCGGGACTTGTCCGTTGCTCGTTCTTTCGAACTAACTCTCTTTCTCTTTTACAGGTCTTTCGGGACCTGCGAGAGGTTACAAAGTAGTTGATCCTTGCGGAGCAATATCGCAAGGGCGAAGCGTGACTTAGGCAACGCAAGCTAAGTTCGCGTCTTTGCCACAAGGGTGACTCGCGACTTAGGCAACGCAAGCTAAGTTCATGTCTTTGGCCGCAAGGGTGCCTCATGCCTTAGGCAATTCCAGCTAAGGTCGTGACATTGTGGTATCAAAGCGGGCAAGCTCTTCGATCGAACAACGAACGAACTTCGCAACTTCGCCATGGCAAAGCATCGTGGCGAATCAAGCAAGATGGGGTAAGACGGACCCTTGCCCCAAGCAGCCGCAGGTGGGTTGCATGTGCACACTCGCTCTCATGCTGTTGGAGCCGCTCAAGAGGAGCGCCGCAGCGAACAGGATGAGCGAGAAGTTGGCCACTCCCCGCGAGCGGAGGAAGCGCAATCTGGTGCGCTAACTGGGAAAAAGAGTCATAAGGAGAGACTCACGACGGCGGAAACCCGCCTGGATGTTCTTGAAGCGAGCATGGAGGAACTCTACCATGACCAACAAAGACTTGTTGGGGTAGAGAGCTCGCAAGAGGAAGCAGAGTCTAGGATCGACAAGGTCGAGGCCCTAGTCAACCGACTATCGGATGACACCAAAGACTCCGTGCAACACTTACAGGATGTTGTGGCGGAACTCACTGCAAAGGTGGCTATGCTCACAGGAACACTAAATGCGGGAGGAGGCAACACCCGCGTTGCACCGCCACAAAATTTAAGGGCACTTGAGCCTCATGGATATGGAGGGGCCAGAGATGCCAAGGAGCTCGAGAACTTTTTGTTCGACATGGAGCAATACTTCCGAGCTACGAGGCCCGATTCTGAAGATACCAAAGTTTCTATAGAACAATGTATCTGAATGGAGATGCGAAACTTTGGTGGCGAACTCGTTGGGAAGAGATCCAACAAGGTCGGTGTCAAGTCGACACATGGGAGGACTTGAAGCGGGAGTTGAGAACTCAATTCCTACCGGAGAACACAGAGTTCGTCGCAAGAAGGAAGTTGAGACAACTCCGCCAAAGCACCACCATCCGAGACTATGTGAAACAGCTTTCTGCACTAATGCTGGACATACAGGACATGTCCGAGAAGGACAAGTTGTTCAGCTTCCTCGATGGTTTGAAACCATGGGCTCAACAGGAGCTAAATCGAAGGAATGTTACCGATGTGGTCGGGGCAATTGTTGCTGCAGAAAGGCTCACCGACTTTGTTTCCTCTGAAGACCCAGTGAGAAGGAAACAATCTTTAGGCAATCGCCCTCCAAAACATTCTCGAGGGAAGGAGCTCGGGGGCGAACAAAAGAAGAAGAGCTCCCACAAAGGGCCGAACCCAAAAGGCAAGGCCTCAAAACCTGGAGGATGCTTCTTGTGCGGAGGACCGCACATGGTAAGGGAGTGCCCACAGAAACAGGCACTCAATGCTTTGACGGCTTCCATCCACCCTCCCCGATCGGACAAGGGCAAAGCTGTTGCTCTCAGTTCAAGCAGTTCAGAATCCAACAGCGACGACGAGGAGTCGCAAGGACCCCGAATGGGAGCAATGCGTTTGTTGAATGCTATGCGGGGTCAAGTGGGGGAGAACATGAAGACGAAGGCACAAAAAGCAGGAAGTAGTGAGCTGATGTATGTGGACATCAAGCTAAATGGCCAAACGACCCGTGCAATGGTGGATACAGGCGCTACCCATAACTTCATAGCCGATCGCGAAGCACAGCGACTTGGGTTGACCTTGGAGAAGAGCCCAAGCCGAATGAAGGCGGTGAACTCGGAGGCCAGGCGAATCTCCGGGTTGGTGAAGGGTGTTCCTATCAAAATCGGGACTTGGAGCGGAAACACCAACATGATGGCCGTGCCACTGGACGACTTCCAAGTGATTCTTGGAATGGAGTTTATGCATGCGGCAAAGTTGGTGCCGATGCCATTCTTGAACTCCCTATGTATGATGGGAGGCGATAACCCCTGCGTGGTTCCCGTCTCTCAGAGAGGAACTAAGGAGCCCCAACACATTTCGGCATTACAATTGAAGAAAGGGGTGCGAAAAGGCGAATTGACATTCGTGGCTGCTATGAAGCTAGAGCCACTCAACAAAGAGCCATTCAAGAACCTGCTGTGGTGGCAAACGTCCTAAAAGAGTTCAAAGACGTTATGCCACCTGAGTTGTCGAAGACTCTTCTCCCTCCACGTAGAGGCATGGATCACAGTATCGAGCTGGAGCTAGGAGTCAAGCCTCCAGCGAGACCACCCTACCGCATGCCCCCGCCAGAGTTGGCAGAACTCAGGAAGCAGTTAGGTGAACTGCTAAGCGGTGGTCTCATCCGCAGCTCTAAAGCACCTTTCGGAGCTCTAGTTCTCTTCTAGAAGAAACAAGATGGGAGCCTCCGATTATGCGTTGACTATCGAGCCCTCAACAAAGTAACAGTGAAGAACAAGTATCCCATCCCGCTCATCGCGGACTTGTTCGACCAACTGGGCAAGGCCAAGTATTTCTCAAAACTCGACCTTTGGTCGGGGTATTGGCAGGTGCGCATTGCTGAAGGCGACGAAGCAAAGACTACCTGTGTGACCAGGTATGGAGCGTTTGAGTTCTTGGTGATGCCTTTCGGCTTAACCAACGCTCTGACCACATTCTGTACTCTCATGAACCAGCTATTCAAGGAGTATTTGGATAAGTTCGTGGTCGTCTACTTGGACGATATCGTCATCTACAGCCAAACACTCGAGGAGCACGTCAAGCACCTTCGGACGATTTTCAAGGTTCTCCGAGAGAACACTTTATTCGTAAAAAGGGAGAAATGCTACTTTGCTCAAACTGAGATCCTATTCTTGGGGCATCGAATCGGTGATGGCTCCATTCGGATGGATAAGTCGAAGGTGCAAGCAGTTGCGGAATGGCGAACTCCAAAGAAGGTGCCAGAGTTGAGATCCTTCCTTGGTTTCATCAACTACTATCGACGCTTAATTGCGGGATACTCGAAGCGGGCAACCCCACTGACGGAGTTGCTGAAGAAAGAGCAGCCTTGGAAGTGGTCTGACAAATGTGAGATAGCATTCCAAGATCTGAAGGCTGCTATTCTAGAAGAACCAGTACTCAAATTGCCAAACTATGGAGAGCCCTTTGAAGTACATACAGATGCTTCAGACTTCGCTATTGGGGGAGTACTCATGCAGGAAGGTCATCCGGTGGCCTACGAGAGCCGCAAACTCAACGAGACCGAGAGGCGGTACCTAGTGCATGAGAAGGAGATGACAACAGTGATCCACTGTCTACGAGTTTGGCGACACTACCTCCTCGGGTCGTGATTTGTGCTGAGGACAGACAACATCGCCCTGAGCTATTTCCAAACTCAGAAGAAGCTCTCCCCAAAGCAGGCACGGTGGCAGGACTTCCTGGCTGAATTTGATATGGCAATGGAGTACAAGCCTGGGAAGGCGAAT